TGTAGTATAATATATTTTGAAGTCAGGTAGTGTGATTTCTCCAGCTTATTTCTTTTTACTCAGCATTGCTCTGACCACTTGGGGTCTTTTGAGATTCTACAAAAATCTGATGATTTTTTAAAATTCTATTTATTGAAAAAAAATACATTGGAATTTTAATGGAGATCGCTTTAAATGATAATTTGGCCATTTTAACTATGTTGATTCTTCTAGTCCATGAACACAGAATATCTTTCCACTTTATTGTGTCTTTTCCAATCTTTTAAAATAATGCTTTTTAGTTTTAGTATGTAGGTTCTTTACATTCTTTGCTAAGTTTATTCCTAGGTATTGTGTTCTTTTTTGTTGCAATTGAAAAAGGATTTTTTTTCATTTCTTTTTATGATATTTTATTTTTAGTATATCGGAATGTAATGGATTTTTGTACATTGATTTTCTATACTGCTACTTTATCTGTTTATTGGTTATGATATTTTTTTGGTGGAGTGTTTAGGGTTTTCTATATAAAGAATTATATCATCTGCAAAAAGTGACAATTCTACTTCTTCCTTTCCTATTTGGATACCTGTTATTTCTTTCTCTTGCTTAATTGTTCTTGCTAGGATTTCTAGCAATATGTTGAATAAGAGTAGTAGGAGTGGGAATCCTTTTCTTGTTTCTGATCTTCGATTAAAAGCTTTTAGTTTTCACCATTGAGTAAGATGTTAGCTGAGGGCTTGTCACATATGCTCTTTATTATGTTGAGGTACTTTTCTTGTGTACACTTTTGGTTGTATGTTTTAATTATAAATGGATGGTGTATCTTATCACATGCTTTTTCTGCATCTGTTGGAATGAACCCCACTTGAAAGTGATATATTATTTTTTTAAATGTATTGTTGTATTCAATTTGTTACTTTGTTTTTTAGGATTTTTGCACCTGTATTCATCAAAGATATGACTCTTTGATGTGACTTTTTTTGTTTGTTTGTTTGTTTAGTGTGTTTGTTATCCTTGCCAGGTTTTGGTATTAGGGATATGTTGGCCTCATATAATGTGATAGGAAATATAGCTTCTTTAATTTTTTGAAAGAGTTAGAGAAAGGTATAAAATTTTCTTTGAATGGTTGGTAGATTTCACCAGTGAAGCCATATGGTTGTGGATTTTTACTTTTGGGGAAGTTTTTGATGGTTCTTTCAATTTCTTCACCCATGATCTTTCTATTTAAATTTTCCAGTTCTTCCTGTTTCAGGATAGGAATGTAATGTAAATAACCATTGTGTCCTTTCATAGATGATTGGATAAAGAAGTAGAATATACACTGAGTGGCCAGATTATTATGCATTCAGAGATCATAATAATCTGGCCACTCAGTGTATATACAATGGGATATTACTCAGCCATAAGAAAAGATGAAGTACTATCATTTGCAACAAGGATGGATCTTAAGAATATCATGCTTGCCGAAACCGGTTTGGCTCAGTGGGTAGAATGTCGGCCTGCAGACTGAAAGGTCCCGGGTTCGATTCCGGTCAAGGGCATATACCTTGGTTGCGGGCACATCCCCGGTGGGGTGTGTGCAAGAGGCAGCTGATCGATGATTATCTCTCATCGATGTTTCTAACTCTCTATCCCTCTCTCTTACTCTCTGTAAAAAAATCAATAAAGTATATTTTTTTAAAAAAAGAATATCATGCTTAGTGAAATAAGTCAGACAGAAAAACTAAAGAATGACATTATTTTAGTCATATGAGATAATTGAGAGCAATAAATAAACAAGCAAACAAAAACTCATAGACACAGATAACAGTATGCTGTTACCAGTGGGAAGTGGCTTTGAGGGATAAAAAAGGGTAAAAGAGTTCAAATATATGATGACTGAAGATTTGAGTTTGGAAATAGGGCAAACAATCCTATATAATAAAGAGGAAATATGTAAATTAGCCCTCATGCCATCACAAGATGGCTGTTCCTGTAACACAAGATGGCTGCACGCACAGCAAAAGCAGGATTCCCATAACACACGATCGAGGGGTTCTGTAATGAGTGATCTGCAGGGACCTGAAGCTGCATGGCACCAGGCTGGGGTGGGGGACCTGAGGCTGCGCCCCCAGCCCGGCAGAGCTTGACAGGGGACCTCAGGCCGCACCCCCCTGCCTGGCTGTGTAGGGGACCTCAGGCCACAGCCCCCGCCCTGGTGGGGCTTGATTTGGGACCTCAAGGTGTGCCCCCTTCCTGGCACCAGGCTGGGGGACCTAAGGCCATGCCCCTGCCCTGGCGTTGGTTCAGTGGACCTCAGGCCATGTCCCCCACCCTGATGCCAGGATAGAGGACCTCAGGCTGCACCCCCTGCCTGGCGCCCGGCTGGGGGATCTGAATCTGTGTCCCCTGTCTGGTGGGGCTTGACAGGCGTGGGACCGGCTGGGTCTGGATCTCACCCAATGGGGGTGGGGCTGGCTAGGTCTGGGTCTCACGTGATTTTGAGGTGCACACAGGTGGGCTGGGGGCACCCCTGGGCACTTGACTCTGGCTTCTGCGGCATGCCCCAGGCTCTGACAGGAGGAAGATTTTCATATACATTTTACTAATTTTCTTTCATCTCTTATACTACTATTATAGAAAAAGGGCAGATAGCAATATTAAAATATTTCCTCTAATTAATTCCCTTTTAATGTGCATGAATTTTGTGCACTGGGCTGCTAGTATAATATACAGATGACGTATCATAGAATTGTACATTTGAAACCTATATAATTTTTGGAACCAATGTCACTCCTGTAATTTTCATTTTAAATAATAAATAAATAAAAATATGAAAAAAGCAGTCAAGGTGAATGAACCCTGTCCATCTGAGTAGAAAGTGTAACAAAGATACTTAAGGCATTTTTAAACTATATTGTCTATTTTAGCTTACAGTTCAGATAATCCAGATTCTGGAGCACTAGATAATAATTATCGAGTAGTACCTATGAGTTTTTTATAGTCTACATTTGTTATTATTACATTATTCAAAGTAAGATGATTATACTCTTGAGTGTTGAAAATTTTTCAGGTATTAGTATATGTCAAAAGTGTTTTTATTATATCTAGGGAGTAAGGCCTAATTTGGTGTTTTAAAAATAGTTTATAAATGTTATAAGAATTGGCATTGTCCAAATAATCATTTCAGGGCTTTATTACCAAAATTTCCCAAGTACACTGGAGAGCATTGTTGCTGGCATCAGTTTTAATATGATTTTTATTGACACGACATAGATCTTGTTATTTGATTAGTAAATACCTACTGGATATAAGAAATAAAAAATGATATATTGGGAAGGCAGGCCTAGCTAAATCATTATGTGATACCATATTTATTAGTGGGAGGCTTGAAAATGGAAAAAGTGAACAAATTTTCTCTGATTAGTATTGAGTCTTCATTGTACCCTGTATTTCTGGAATCTCAATCTAAATCAGAGTCCTACCTAGTTTAAATAGGATTACTTAATTAGTTCCTGTAGCTTTCCTTACTCAGAAAATATTGAAAAATGTTTCACAAATGAAATAAAGACACTATTAGAGAACATTTAGAAATGTTTCCCCAGGATTTCTTCCAGTTCTGCACAATTACACTTGCATGTATGCCAAAGAGACCTCTTCTCTCTGGATGTTCTTTATTGATTTCAGCAAGTCTCCATTCCCTTCTAAAGAATCAAGATCTTAAAATATTTGTTTCCTGGAAAGCTTTTCATTTGGCCTGTTGAATATGTAGCTTTTGGAAATTACTTTGGTACTTGAATAAACACTGGAACACTTCATTCTTAGATCCAATACTTTTCCTGTATTTTAAATTCAAATCAAGTTATATAAAAAACATGGGTCATGTTGGCTTTCTACTCTGTGAAACCAGGGGAAAAAAGAATGCATTGGGAATGTTAAGGGAAAGGTATTTGTAATGGAAGGAAACTTTTTAAATTAGTAATGTAAATTTGCATTTCAAGATGTAACCTGATTTACTTAGTGCTTCAAATCACCTTTTCCTTTATTTTTTCATAATACTTATCAATTTGTTATATTTCACATAATATAGTTATTGTGTTTGTAATATTATCTGATTCTGCTCTATGAGAATGTCAGCTGCAGGAGAGCAAGGATCTTTGTTTTGTTCACTGATGTATCCTAAGCACTGAGACCCCGGTCTGGCACACAGTAGTTACTCAGTTAATATTTGTGGACTGAACGAATACCATGATCTATCCCACTTCATCCCTCAAGTTTTATATTCATTTCTTCCTAGTAATTATTGTATGTTGCCATGTTCCATATGAAGTAGGCAGTTAACTTATTGTTAAAAATAATACTCTACCATCTAGTATGAGAAGATAATTTTAGGAATTATATCCTAAAAATGTTTGAAGAGGTAATTTATAATGCTTCAGTTTTCAATAAGTTTTAATGAAACCCATAGTGTTCCACAGATGCCCACAAAATTTATTAGGAAATTGAGGATGGGAAACTTTTCAAGCACCCCTATGTTCATAGCAGCATTATGTATAATAGCTAAGATCTGGAAACAGCCTAAGTGCCCATCAGTAGATGAGTGGATAAAAAAGTTATAGTATATTTACACAATAGAATACTATGCAGCTATAAAAAAAGGATCTCTTACCCATTGTGACAGCATGGAGGCACCTGGAGGGTATTATGCTAAGTGAAATAAGCCAGTCAGAGAAAAACAAGTATCACATGATCTCACTTATATGTGTAATCTAATTAACAAAATAGGTCCAAAGACATGGAAGCATGCAACAGACTGACGAATCTTAGAGGGAAGAGGAGAGGAGCTGTGGGAAGAAATTTAACCAAAGAACGTATATGTGTAATTCATGGGCACAGACAATAGTGTAGTGAATGCCTGGAGGATTGCAGGACCCCAGTGGAGAGGTGCAAAGGGCAGAAAATGGGGGACATCTGTAATACTATCAACAATAAAAATAAATGTTATACATATATATATTCTTTATTGTGTGTATCTTTCTCAGATGCGAAAGCTGACAATCATGCCTGCAGGGCTGATATTTGCATCTGTAAGTGTGCACGCAGCCAAAGAAGAGGAATCCAAAAAGCAGCTAATGAAACCAGAGCAGGTAACTTGTGTATAAATGTTTGTGAATTTTTTTTATAATATAAATATGTTTCAATGAATTTTTATTATGTTGTTGTTACCCCTACTCATAAAAATATCTTTGAAATATTTGTTAAACACATTTTATAAGTTGAGATACAGTTATAAGGTGTCTTAAAATAAACACTGTATTATATTTAACTCAAAACTCTAGTATCCTAATTCTAAGGAAAAACAATTGGTGATTTTTCTCAATGAATAATCAGTGAGTAGTACAAGGTCTTAGTACTTTTAAGCTGTCTGGTTTTTCTTTCTTGAAAATGTATACAGGTATTTGGAAGCTTTAGTTTAAGAAACTCATTAAAATCTCATTTTTGAAAGTGACTTTATATGTTTTATAGTTCAGCCTTCTGTATGTTACTAAGATACAATAGGTACACTGTTGTAGAAGACCATTTATCTTCTACATGAATATAACTCTGGATTAAGGAACCTACGGAATCCATTCAATTTGCTGGCAGCTCCTCATTCAATTTGAGGTCCTTCCATAGGTCAGGCAAACCTTTGTCATAATAAGTTCTGCCCATTTGCCCTGTATCTATTATATTGGTATCATACAGGAAAATTCTCATCTCTCTTCCACCCAACAACTCTTCAGATGTTAACTACTTTTGCTTCCTGGATAAGTATATTAGTAGCTTTCACCTTTCTTCGTATGTCCATAGCTTTTAGTTCCTTCGTTTATTAAAAAAATATATATATATTTATTGATTTCAGAAAGGAAGAGAGAATGAAAGAGAGACAGGAACATTGATCACGAGAGAGAAACATTGATTGGCTGCTCCTACATGCCCCATAGTGGGGATCAAACCCACAAACCCACAATGCCCCTGACCAGGAATCAAACCATGACCTGCTAGTTCATAGGTCAATGCTCAATCACTGAACTATGCCAGCTGAGCAGTTCCTTTACTCTCTTGATTATTCTCTGCCATGCATATTTGGGATGGTTAGCATTTTCCTCAGGTGTAAATATTTTGACCACTGCTCAATTAAGTCAGACTCTGATTTCTATATTTATATTTCAATATAAATATACATAATATATTTATATTGAAGCTGCCTAAGATCACATTCACTTTTACATATATTTTTGTCTTTGTCCTCACAATCAATCTCATGTATAAAATTTAACAAAATTACCTTTGACCATGACATAGTGAATTTGTAGTTCTTTTTTTTTTTTTTAATAAATCTTTATTGTTCATATTATTACAAATGTTCCTCTTTCCCACCCCCCTCCATTGCTCTTCTCCACCAGGTTCCCACCCCACCCTCTGCCCTTTCCCCACCCCTCATTGTCCTCATCCATAGGTGCACAGTTTATGTTCAGTCTCTTCCCACACCCCCCTCTCCCTTTTTCCTCAAGAATCGTCAGTTCACTCCCCTTCCATACTTCTAATTCTATTATATCCACCAGTTAATATTGTTCATCAGATTTTTTATTATTAATTTCCTTGGTTTTTAGATTCACTTGATAGTGAGGTATTTGTTGTTCATAATTTTTATCTTTATTTACTTTCTCTTCCGAAAGAACCCCCTTCAATAATTCATATAATTCTGGTTTGGTGGTGATGAACTCCTTTAACTTTTTTTACTAGTGAAGCTCTTTATCTGGCCTTTGATTCTGAGTGATAGCTTTGCTGGGTAGAGTATTATATTTTTGGCTGTAGGTTCTTACTTTTCATCACCTTGAATATGTCTTGCCATTCTCGTCTGGCCTGCATGGTTTCTGTTGAGAAATCAACTGACAATCGTATAGGTGCTCCTTTATAGTTAACTACCTGCTTTTCTCTTGCTGCTTTTAACATTCTCTCTTTGTCTTTTGCTCTTGGAATTTTAATTATGATTTGTCTTGGTGTGGTCTTCTTAGGATTCCTTTTGTTTCCTGGACTTGTAAATCTAATTCTTTCCCCAGGTGGGGGAAGTTTTCTGTCACTATTTCTTTCAGTATGTTTTCGGTATCTTGCTCTCTCTCATCTTCTGGGACCCCCATAATTCTGATGTTGGTTCGCTTGAAATTGTCCCAGAGGTTTCTTACATTATCTTCAACTTTCTGAATTCTCTTGCCTTATTGCTTCTGCAGAGGAGTGCCTTCTGGCTCTTTATGTTCCAAATCTTTGACTTGATTCTTGCGATCTTCCATTCTGTTTTTAGGACTCTGTATAATATTTTTTATTTCAGACAATGTATTGTTTATTTCTTGTTGATCCCTTATTATTTCTTGTTGATTTCTTATTAATTCTAGTTGATTCCTTTTCATATCCTCATAGTTCTTATCGCCCTTTTCTAGGAAATTCTTGAAAAACCTTATAAGTGTAGATTTGAACTCTATATCCAGTCGCTTTTTGTCCTCCATTTCTTTTGTTTGTGATCTTTTTCTTTGTCTCTGCATTTTCGCAGCTTCCCTGAGTTGGTAGCATTAAAAGTTTCTGTGTTCTGCTTGGATGTTGTTTTAGGGTGGAGCCTACAGCCTTGGCTTTCCTCAGCCCTGCCCTATGTGGCTCCTGAGTCTCAATGTTTCACAGTGTCCTTCGGTACTCGCTGCAAGCACCTCTGAGAGAAAGGTGCCCTCTCAGAGATGCTTGCAGCGAGTACTATAGTTCTTAAAATTTATTATTTTTTTATATGGCCTACTGGTAAGGTATATATTTTCCCAAATTGTACTTATGCATACAGACTTTTGGGATTCAGTTGCAGGTATATATACACTAAGTGGCCAGATTATTATGATCTCTGAACACATAATAATATGGCCACTAAGTATTTGTATCTCAAATGGGTACCAAAAGTATTTCAGACTTTTGCTGGAGATCAGCCACCTATTTGCCCTGAGCTTTCTATCAGCCAGTGCAAAATGGAAACTAATCAGGTATCAAAGATATCAAATAAATGAGATACTTAAGAGAAGTACATTGAGTGGCCAGATTATTATTCATTCAGAAGTCATAAAAATCTGGCCACTCAGTGTATATGCCTGTTTAACTTTCATCTTATTGATATAATCTATCGTATAGGCCTGTTTATATCTAATTGTGGTTACTGATTTGGTCTCTACTTTACTCTTTTTCTTTTCTAGCCTTAACTCACCATAAGGTGTCTGTACATACTTAGAAATGTATATTGAATTAGACGGGTCGGAATCTAAATATTGACTCCACCACTGACTATTTGGATAATATTAGACAGAATTCTTATTGGTGTCTCAGTCTGTTGTATAAATGTACCATTATCAAATGTACAAATTACATACTTTTTTAAAATTTAGTTTATTTATAATAATTTGTTTACTGTAATGGTACTTTGTTGAGACATTCTATATATAAAGCTGTATGTGCATCTATAACTGTTTCCTTATAATAAGGTTATAGAAATGGAATTGTAGGTCAGAATGCATGAAAATTTCAATACATTGTCAAATTGACATGTATAAAATTTAACAAAAATTACTTCCTCAGCTCCTCTTGTATATGTGTGAGGCAATAGTCTAAGCATCCTTTATAATAAAATCCTAATATGCTAAATGTCTGGTGTCCAGTTGGCTGTTCAACCAATCAAAGTGTAACATGCTAATGATATGTTAAAGCCACTCAACCACTTGCTATGATTTGTACTGACCACCAGGGTGCGGATAGTCAACCAGTTGACCAGTCACTATGATGTGTACTGAGCACCAGGGGACATATACTCCAACTAGTAAGTTAGCTTGCTGCTGGGATCCGGCTGATCGGGACTGAGCAAAATGGGCCATACATGCCCTGGAGCCCTCCCACAGTCTCTCCCCAGCTGGCCAACCTCCCCTCTCCCTCCCCTCCCAGCCCAGATTGTGTACTAGTGGGGTCTCTGCATGGCCTGTGCCCTCTCGCAACCCGGGACCTCATGGGTGATGTTGGAGAGCCAGTTTCAGCCCAACGGGAGAAAAACCAGTCGCTATGATGAACAATGACCACCAGGGGGCAGACACTCAATGCAGGAGCTGCCCCCTGTTGGTCAGTGTGCTCCCATAGGAGGAACGCTGCTCAGCCAGAGGCCAACCTCATGGCTGGTGAGTGCAGCAGCAGTGGCAGGAGCCCCTCCTGCCTCCATAGCAAAACTAAGGATGTCTGACTTATGACATAGGCTCTCTCCCCATGGACATCCCCTGAGGGCTCCCGAAATATGAGAGGGTGCAGGCTGGGCTGAGAGACACCCCAAGAGCATGAATTTCATGCACTGGATCTCTAGTTGCCCTATATAATAAAGAGGTAATATGCAAATTAACCATTATGCCCTCACATAAGATGGCTGCCCTCATGTGGTTACAAGATGGCAACTACAAGATGGTCAACAGGGGAGGGCAGTTGTGGGTGATCAGACCAATAGGGAAAGGCAGTTTTGGGTGAGCAGGCCAGCAGAGGAGGGCAGTTAGGGGCAAGCAGGCTGCAGGAGATGGCAGTTAGGTGTGACCAGGGCAGCAGGGGAGGGCAGTTAGGGGTAACCAGGCCAGCTGGGGAGGGCAGTTAGGGGCAACCGGGCTGGCAGTGGATGGCAGTTGGGGGCAACTGGGCCGGCAGAGGAGGGCAGTTGGGGGCAACTGGGCTGGCAGGGGAGGGCAGTTAGTAGCAACAAGGCCAGCAGAGGAGGGCAGTTGGGGGCGACTGGGCCAGCAAGGGAAGGCAGTTGGGGGCAATCGGGCCATCAGGGGAGCAGTTAGGCCTCAATCAGGCTGGCAGTGGAGTGGATAGGGGGTGGTTAGGCTGGCAGGCAGAAGCAGTTGGGGGCAATCAGGAAGGCAGGCTGGCAAGCGGTTGGGAGCCAGCAATCCCCAGATTGTGAGAGGGATGTTCGATTGCCAGTTTAGGCGCAATCCCACAGGATCCCAAGGGGTCTCAGATTGGAGATGGTGCAGGCTGGGCTGAGGTACATCTCATCCCCCCCAGTACATGAATTTCATGCACCAGACCTCTAGTATTTTAATAATAA